TGATGAATAATGATTTAGGAAATAATATTGGAATTAGTGTTCCCTCTCCTTGAGCATAGAGAATGTGACCCAGCTGGACCCACAAGGACCCAAAAGGACTCACAAGGACACGTCAACTGGGCCCTGAGCTATAAAGGCAATAGCGAAGATGATCTTGGAAAGTATCTTTTAGGGAAACTTTCACATAAAGCCAATCAAACAGAACACATAAGACTTTCCACTCTTGTCTTTTCCTGTTAGCATTTAGTAAATAGAAATTTGTTGGACCAATGAAGACCCTCCTGACTGTCATTACTGAAACCTATACCAATGATTGTTAAGAAAGACAATTCAAAATGGAGGATCACAGTTTCTAGCCAATCTTAGAAGGTTAAACTTTCAATGGTTTTGCCCATTTGTAATATGAATATATACTGATGATTCTGTAATGGTCTTTGGACTCAGCCAGACATGGCTGTGGCAGCATGCTTGTCCGTTTTCCCACTTTTGTCTGTTCTGTGATACTTCCTTGGACTCGGGCAGACATGGCTCTGGCAGCATGGTTCTCCGTTTCCCACTTTTGCCTTTTTAAATATATGCCGAATAAAACTTTCTTTTTGCTTTACTAAACTTTGTGATGTTTTTACGCTTCAACAATAACGAAGACAGCAAAAAAGATGGGGGAGGAGAGAATTTTAAGGACGGTATCTAGCAAGGAAGAGATTTTTCATTTCAGGCAGTCCTCAGGGGCTTGAGCCCCAGTTTTTTCCTCAGCACTTTTGGGTTACTGAGATTCCACAGAAATCTAGAAGTAAGAATGTAATCTGTTTATAAATTGAGGATATAAAGAGGAGGTGCTGAAGCTGACTCCAGTCTCAGAAGTACCCTTTGAAAACTGAGCCCTTAACAGTAAAGGAAGCCATAGAACAAGAGAAAGAAAGTGAGGGCATGCTCTTCTTGGTTGTCAAAATGGGATGACATAAATTTGGCTTAAGTCATATCATTCATATAGGAGCCCTGGTGGTGCAGTGGTTAAAGCGCTCCGCGGCTAACTGAAAGGTCAGCAGTTCGAACCCACCAGCTGCTCCGAGGGAGAAAGATGTGGCAGTCTGCTTCCATAAAGATTTGCAGCTTTGGAAACCTTATGGGGCAGTTCTACTCTGTCCAATAGGGTCACTATAAGTTGGAATTGACTTAACAGCAGTGAATTGTTTTTTTTTTTTTTTGGGGGGGGGGGGCCGGGGGGAGGGAGGTTATTTCATTCATCTTCAAAATGACTCAGATCATGACCTTTTCACAAAATCTTGTTAGGCAGTGATGTAGGTGGGAGTAGAGGACAAGGTTCCAGCTCTTAAATCTGAATTCACATCCTTGAATACTGAAGGAAAAATTAAAAGGAAAAAAAAAAAGAATAATCCTAATAACCCTGCAAAAATAGGGAAGCTTCACATGCCATGAGAAAATCACTCTTCTTATGTACGATATAGTAAGATAACAAGACTTTTCTTTCACTGGTTACATCTTCTTACTCATCAGGCACTAGGGTCAATATATTGGTTCCCGGGCTTTTAGCCTGGATATGATACTTAACCTCACCAGAATATTTCTTTTCTTTCTCCTTTCCTACATTTCAAGTAATGCAAAGCACAATCAATGGTCTTTTCTAGTATCAACGGAAATGCTGTACAATAAATGGAATAAGTCAATGAATGAGTGAGTGTGTATGTTTGGAAAGACTACTTCTAATTCAAAACATCCTAAACTGGTCCCTGTTTGAACCATAAACACCACACCCATTGTCTGATGAACTTAAGTACACACATACACACAAACTGAGTTTTCTCACAGATTAGATTGGTTCATCTGCTTTCCTAGTGTAAATTTATACCTTACATTTTCAGGAAAGCAAATAGCACAAATCTGAGCAAAGTAAACAAAGCTGAACAAATGAACAAAACAAAAACCTTTTTCAGTGGAAAGACCCTCAGCTTGGGAATCCTTTTTTACATAAAGCACTTTATAGCCAAACAGTACATCTTACTATTCATAAAATATGGGCACGAGTTAAAGTAGGCAAAAAAATCAAAAAAATAAAAGCACATACAAAAGTAGCCACTGCTTTTGAAAAAGAAACCAAAAATATCGTTTCCATAAAACTGACCATGTCTCACCTAAAAGTGAAGATCTGATTTTATCTTCTTGCTTCTGCCTAAGTGATAATGAAGTTTAACTCATTTGAAATTATAGCAGGCTAATTACTCTTTAAATATTCTGAATAGCTGTAACAATGGACTGGGAAAATCTATTAGGTTTCTACCTGGCTTTTATAAAAATTACCATAAAAACCATTCTAGGAAGAGTTAACATAGTCCTTTTCTTCCCCCTCAACAATATTCTACAGCATGCTGAAAAACAGATTTAAAAATCTTTAGGAAGTCTTTTTTTTTTTTTTTTAATTCCCCTAAGGTATAGCCTGAATTCCTCCTCCTAAAATTCAAAATAATGTAGGTCAATTTAGTATACTGAAATTCACTGGCAAGAAAGAATTCTCTCTTTCGAAACAGTTGAAATGAACAACATTATAGTTCAATTTTCCTTTTGCACAACAGCTCGTACATTTTTACCTTTCAATACATGTTGAAAACTAATAATATGACAGACTCCTTACACGCTGTTCAAGTATTGCAATAATTTCTTTAGGAACAGTATAAAAGGCATGGTTGTTGGATAAATTGGAAAAGTCATTGAGAGACAACTGTAGATGATAGCGTTAGTTTTTATTATATTTACAGGTTTACCGCTTCAATGGCACCTCCATCCTCTCATGTAAATGGATCTTAACTCTTCAGTGTAGGGGAAAACAAACAAACCAGAAATCCTAGATGCTAAGTGATAGCAACCATTATCGTCCTATGGACAATTTCATGTCCTTTCTTCCTGAAAACACTCTTTGTAATTACAATTCAGTGACAACCAACCAAGACAATTGAATACCTTAAAAGTAGGTCTCCCCTCTGCTAGGCTAATTTATTCACGATAGAAAACATTTCTGCCCTTCAGCTAAATGGGAAGAAGCCAGATCTCTCTCCTTCCATTTGCACCAAAGAAAATAGCAAAGTTGTCAAGATCTAAAAAGTTGTTTTACAACAGAAGGAATGAGGTAACTCAACATGTAGGATTATAACAGGAACGTGCCTACTGACTGTGAACCTGTCATCATTATTAGCAGCTGCTTTGAGATGCTACCGTGATGTAACACACTTGAAACCCAGTTTAGACAGACATTTTCTCATTATAAGTTGTGTAAGATTCTGCTATGGAACTTACTGTCATATTTGATATAATAAGTAATACATTGCCTATACAATACAGCAGGGCTGGATTTCACAATGTCTGTTTTGAGTGTATCAGGCTGGATTTAATAAAAGTTCTGATCGACTTGGTAACATGAAAATGAGTGCAAACTCTGCAAAATGAACTACCCCTGTCATTTTGGTGTCTGGAACAGGTTTTGGGAGACTTTAATGGAATTTAAGACTTTTGTGCTTTTACTATTTCTATATCCATTAGGTGTACTTTTGGATGTAATGAATTTTACAGAAAAGTTTTAAAATGAGAAGAAGCATTTCTCCATATAAACACCTGTATAAGTTTTCTGCCACTACTAATATGAATTGACCTTATAAGGAAAAGTTCTACTACTGCTGATGACTTCTCCCTTAGATAAAATGAAAAAATATGAAACATAAGACACACACACAAAAAAAAAACTTGATTAATTTTTTCAAAGCGCTAGGTGAAGCTCATTTGCATATTACTTGGGAAAGAAGGAAAGAATGGAGTGTCACCTTTCATTGACAAGCCACTTTACAAAAATAAACTTTCTCTTTATTTACATATCATATGGTATAAATTTAAATAAGTTTACATATATTGTGACTTGGCAGAGTATCATTAGACCACAAATGACTTATACTGAATCTAAAATTACAGACATGTTCAAAAAAGACACCAGAAATGCTGAGTTGATTGCTGATGATGAATGTTGAATAACTGTACAATATGTCTCAACATCTCCACTCAGTACCAGTATGAGTTAACGACAGAGGGAAATATAACTGGCCATACACATTATTTAATATTCCTCCATTTTCATTATGCATCAGATACATGCCTTTTTTATAGGAGATACACTAGCCATGGAAGAGTGGTACACTCTTTAAAAAAGCATCATTTCCCAAATGTTACCTTTAAATGATATTTTAGGGAACAGTCATAAAAGAAGTTGACCAGTCAGATCTATTCTATTTGAAAAGCATAATAAACATTAAAAGTCCTCTCAAAACACCAAAGCTATCATAAAACATGAAGTTATCTTGAAAAATATATCTTTTCCTACTTACCTCCTCAAAACTGAGTTCAAGCACAATGATCCAGTTCATACTCTCAATTTCAGAGTTACAGAAACTTAAAGCAAAGCAAAAACAACTAGCCTACTCGCAAATAAGGAAAAAAGTGGCTGACTACATGTCAACCTGAAGCCCACTGCCATTTTACATAACAAAAACCAAATAGCTGTATTGGCTCTTTTTATCTTTTAAAACTGTAAATTCCCAGAATAGAGAACGTATGTGTTTGACATAAACTCTTTACAGTATCAAATTTTAAGAAACATTAGTAAATACATGAAAAGGGATATCCTCTCTATAATTTTTCCCCTTTTGATCAAATACACTACTGACCCTGAAACACAGTAAGTTTTTATTCTGAATGAACAATTCTGATGTTTAACATAATAAAGTATTAGTCAAACAAATCTTTACTTTAGAAGTCCTAAGGCTTACGGCCAACTCTGTGTAGCAAAAACATTAATAAATCTATATATAGTATATAGAACTGCAGAGCAACAGTTCTTTTGTTTGTTTCCATTTCTCTGTGCTATGTCACAAAGAACAAGAAGTTTCAAAGCAGTAGGGTCAGCATTTTAAAAACCCTTGTTTTCTAGAACGGAAAACACTTACTTTGCCTTCAGTGTCTCTTCCTGGAAGTTCCAGTGTGGGTCTTCCACCAGCTGTAATTCTCTTAAAACCCTTCCAGGCTTGTAAGCTGCATTGATTATCATGCTAAGAACCTGTTGGAAAACAACATAACTGCAGTGAATTTCAATTGGATTCATTCCTACTAAAACAATAATGCTTTGAAAACCACACCACTGGCACTACAAGAAGTACTCACTGAACACCTACATGAAGTGAAGTACGGTGATTAAGCTTGATAGAATATTTTGAAGGTAAACACTCAGTTGCCTCACTATCAATGGGATAAAACCGGTGGTAAAATCTAATCCCTCTGGGTAGGAAAGTGTGAACTGCTCACCAGGGGGAGTGGAAGACTCTCATTAACTCTTCTTGGCTGCAGAAAAATTAAGCCATTTCCTCCAAAGAGCAATTTATTATTCTTCTACAGGATTACTCTTCCATAGGATAGGGTATTGGAAATTTAATTTTATTTTTAAAAATAAATTTCAAATGGGAACAATGAAACTGAGACAGTATGTTCATGCCAACACTTCCAGATAGATACCACATACCCGTAAGGAGGGTAACAAATTATTTGCAACTTACCTGATGCTGACTCAATTTACCCGTTGCCATAGAGTCGATTCTGACTCATAGCAACCCTACAGGACAGAGTAGAACTGCCCCATGGGGTTTCCAAGGAGCTTCTGGTGGATTCGGACTGCCTACACCTTTTGGTTAGCAGCTGTAACTCTTAACCACTTCACCACCAGGGCTCCTTGACTCAATTTATGGATATTTAATACTAGGACAACTCTCTCAGAGACGTATTTTAAAAGAGAATCGACACCATCTTACCCCATCCAATACTCTATTTCCTCAAATTACCCCTTCATTCGCAAGCCCCTTGTAAAAAAACATAAGCACGTGGTCATTGCCCATTGTGGGGCTCCCACAAGGACCAGGCGTTTCTCTTCTCAACTGCATGCTCTGGGGAGATATAACACATTTCTGTCCTTGCTAACCTCCATATACTTCTCAAATGAAAAAAACAAGGGACTTAAAACCTTGGGACACTCACCTTTTAATAAGCCAATCATCATTAACTATTAACATTTATGAGTTCCGGCATGCTAGGAGCTGCTGCTACTTGGAAAGAGAGCCTGAAGAATTTGAAGGTACAAAGCAGCAGACAAAGGGACACGCAGAAAACTTATGGTGCTCAGTCCTATGAAATGAGCAATTTTTTTTGTTTTTTCGCCCGGCACTAGGAACACAGAGAGGAATAGGACACAGTACCTGTCCGTCCTGAAGTTTCTCCCAGTCTGCAAGAGGTATAAATGAATAAGCCAGGCACTGAGCGCATATTTCATGTTTCAGAGCAAAATACAAACGAGAGAGTGAGGGAAAAAAACCACGGAGACGGGAGCCTGGAATTATTGCCAAAGTGCTTACTCTATTTTGGAGGAGACCAGTCCAATACAAACGGAAAGGAAGTCAGTGAAAGTATGTTGCAGGAATTTTCCTGTTGCAGTTTTTCACATATCTGATGCGTCTTTGGAATGTAACCAACCTGGTTTACACCTTGTATTTATTCCAGAAAAACAAAGCTTTCTTGTCTTACAACTGAGGATTCAATTTTAAAATATTTTATACTATGAAGACAGCACAGCAATTGTCTCTTCTTTGCAGGGGTTCCAAGGACTTTGTAACTCCCCATCAAGAGAGCATGGCTCAGCAGGCACTAACAGGCCACGACAATTCAGTACAAGCAGTTTCAGCCTGTTGGTGTTTTCCGTGTTAGAATAATCATCTGATCTTGTTGTCAGTACAACTTATAGAAACTGAGTTACAAAATAAATCTAATCAGAACTGGCTGAAATAATGCACAAAGTGCTTATCAACAGACAATGAAATTTCAACCCATTCTTTTCAATGTGTTTAGCTGAGAAAATCCCAAAGCAATGCGCTATTTGCTGCATATTGAAATGCATTTTGTGACTGTGAGAAGAAAATGCCTTCCCGAGTTCAATTCAGTCTGGAAATCGGCAGCAATTACGTTGAAAAAAGCATCTAACACTGAATATTTTACAATGAGTGTATCCCATGGCTTTTCCTGATGCTACATTATTTGTCTCCAAATTTAACAAGCTCTCTCTAACACTCTGGAATTGTGAGCTGTATTTTTTTTTGTTTGTATTTTTTTTGTGTACACGACATCTTAATGTATTTTAGTTAATGCCATAAAAATAACTATATGGACAGCCATTATCACTATTCAGAATTAGACTGTATTATTGTACCTTGCAAAACATCAAAATTCAATTCATTACGATCAGAGAGGGGAGAATGGAATCTGTCCCTAAGTAACTAACAGGATCTTAGGTGTGAGGCCAGTAAACACTGTTCCCAATAAACTGGTGTGAGGGTTTGAGTAACTCAAGGAGGATTTCTTGAGATTTTATGACATGTTCGTTAAGAACATACACATAAATCCCCATGGATTATTAGAACAGAAAGGCAATAACCTTTGTAGTTGGACAGATCTAGGATCAAATCCCAGTTCTACCTCTTAGGAGCTATAAGTCTTTGGGCAAGATGTTTATGCTGCCGGATGAAAAGCCCCGGGTTTTGCTCGGCGGAGTGACTTGTTACAGCCAATAAACAAAAGGCCGAGGTGAGAGATCAGAAAGAAGACTTTGTTTCCTTGTATAAGGAAAGGAGCAACAGGGGCTGCTGCCTCCAAGACTGCTCACAGACAGCTTGGGGAGGTGGGCTTTTACAGAGAGCAGACAAGGAAACGCAAATTCATCATGAATATCCAGCATTGACCTTCACACAGGCACTCAGGGCTTGGGGATGACTAGGCATTTTCTTTAGGTAAGTGTTTGAATCTCCAGGATGGAGGAAGAGATAGATTTTTTTCTTTATTAGCACGTTAAGTTTCCACCCACAGGCAGCCATCTATGGCTTATTCTGTGGTTATCTTTTCAAGGACAACTTCAGAAGAATGTGCAGCCTATTCTGCTTGGTGTAGGAGGATAAGCCAGAGCAGGTGTCTCTTAGAAGGGCTGGACTCTGAGGCTGCCTTTGTCTCCTGGAATTGTTGAGCTCTGAGGCTGCCTGTCTTACTTACACTTTGACTTTCCTCATCTGTATAATGGGGGCATTGCTATTTACTTGGTGCATTGGGATGTTATGAGGAATAAAAGAGATAACATCTTGGCATACAAAAATATGTAAATGAAGCTGTCTTCTATCAAAAATGAAAAACACCAGTGCAGTCCTCATCAGTCTATAAAATAAACTCTCTCCTATCCCTTCAACCTTTCTGTCCCACTGGCCTGTATTTGTTTCAGTTCTACATCTTTAGAAACTAACTCTCCTAAAAAGCTCCTTAACTTTTTAGCTACTGCCCTCTTTTCGGAGCCAAACTTCTCATTAGTCTAAACTTTTAAATTCTTCATCTTCAATTTAATTGTCAACGTTCCAAAATTTGGTTTCCTCTCCAACTACTACATAAAAATGCTTTGGAACGGTCACCAATGTCCTAATTATCAAATCCAATTAGGACTTTCCCCATCACTGGATCTCTGAGTCATCCTACACTGCATTCCACTCCCCAGTCCTGAAATTCTCCTTTCCTTTCCTACCTCTGCTCTATGAGGCATACAAGTTTGTTCAGAATATGGTGAGTGGACCAGGGTATGCACACAAGAGGAGAGAATAATTAAGGTGAGGAAAAGACAAAGAGAATAGAGTGTAGGTGCTATTTTGTGTAATTCAGCAAGAAAAGAAAGAAACTCCAAACAGCAGTTGGCCCACACTCTCTGTTGCCCCAAAACTAAAACCATTCCCGAGGCCAACTCTTCAGACAAAGATTAGACTGGACTATGGGACGTAAAATGATACTCGTGAAGAAGGTGCCTCTTAGCTCAAGTAGATATATGAGACTAAATGGGCAGCTCCTGTCCAGAGGTGAGATGAGAGGGCAGAGAGGGTCAGGAGCTGGTTGAATGGACACAGGAAATCCGGGGTGGAAAGGAGGAGCGTGCTGTCACGGTACAGAGAGAGAAATTGGGGTCACATAACAATGTATGTATAAAGTTTTGTATGAGAGACTAACTTGAATTGTACACTTTCACTTAAGAGACTATTAAAAAAAATAAAAGAGAAGACGAGACACAGAAACAGTGAGACTGAGGAAAGACAGCCATGTGAAGACAGAAGCAGAGATTGGAGTGATGCAGCTACAAGCCAAGGAATGCCAAGGATCGCTGACCATCACCAGAAGCTGGGAGAGAGGCATGGAATGGATTCTCCCTCAGAACCCTTGGAAGGAATCAACATGGCCGATACCCTGATTTTGGACTCCCAGCCTCCAGAACTGTGAGACAATAAATTTCTGTTCTTACAAACAGCATTTGGTACAGAAGCTACTCAATAAATGTTAGTTTCCTTCTCCTACTCTCCTCCTTTCATGTACAATTTCAGCACTCAAAAGATTATGCAAATTAAAGATTTTCTTCCTCTTCACTTAATGAAATTGTTATTACATTATTTCCTTTCATAGTCATTTCCATGAAAACTTCTTCTCACAAAACACCAAAAGTCATTTAGATATTTCCAATCTCAACTATATTACATGATTAAAGTTATAACAATGTTGAAAGTGCATGGACCCACTTAACAGGTAAGTAATTTCGTTGAGTGTCAAAATTATGAAAACATTTCAGAGTGCAAATATGGCTCCCCTAGCTTGGGCTAGACTGACTTAGTGGGAAGAAGAATCCATGACTTTGAAGGTTTATAATCTGTTGAATTCTAGTGACTTTGTGGTGAAGTTTCTTTGGGGTAGACTTTTAGAGGCAGACTAACCTCCAGGATAACACGAGGGAGAATTTTTTCTCTTAAGGGGGTCAGAAAAAGGATCTGGAAAAAAAAGACACCCTCACTCCAATATTCTGTCCACTCCATGGTTTACCAGCTCTTTCTGCTGCTTAGTCTACTCAGGGTTGATGGTTACAACCAGCTTTTTAAAGAAATCAGGACACATCAAAGGTCCCCGTGGGCCTAAAGTATTTCTTCTTTGGAATCTCAAAAGTCAGATGGG